CATGAAAATATACACAAATTGCAATTAAATAAGCCATTTTCTCCAGAGAGCAAGCTAAAATTGTCACATAAAGGAACAAGTGCCATATAGTGTTTAAGTCACTCGTGTTCACTCATAAATCCAATAGAGCAAAAGGATTCCTGAAGTAAAAACACCATTAATTGTTTCCTTAGAGACAATGATTTTTATAAAAAATTGTTGTTGTTAAATGATAATATATTATGCAGACCCCATGAATGTGATTTAAAGGTAATTTTCTTTCTTAATTTTTTTTTTATAATTTAAAATATTTTTAAGGGCCAAAATTCGAGTGAAGAATCACACTACTCTTTAAGAGAGATCCGTCTTGGATCCACCAATTTAGAAAAGCTGCTGTTAGCATGTCAATGAGAAGCGAGCCAAATAGTATCTGTAATGAACTCCTACTCCTATGAAGCATTGCAAATTACTCTACACAATGAAAACTAACTTTAAATACATTCAATATACAATCATTAATTAGTATTATTCAATTAATCATGATTTGATTACATTATTCACAATGCATTATGGGATGTGTAGTTCATTGCTGTATAAAAGACATGTGGTGCATCTAAAATCACATACTGTCAGACTCTGTTCCGTGTTTTGTGTGTGTTTTGATTCCTATGTTTCCTTTTGCCCTTATTTGGTCCTTCCTGTTCCCATTATGTTCCCCAATTAGTTCTTCATTTGTTTCCAGCTGTGTTTTGTTAATTATCTAGTTTGCTCCAGTATTTAAAGTGTAGTCTGCCCTGTTTTCCCTCGTCCGGTATTGTCTGTTGATGTCTACCTCCTCAGCTATGTGTGTTTTCCTGGTTCCATGATTTCATAAAAATCTCCCTTTTGATGTACTCTACGTCTCCTCGTTCCTCGCTCCAACACAGTAGCGCACCGTGACAAATACTGAGTAGGTACTTCATTCAAATTTGAACTACTTTACAACCCTTAAAGTATGTTCTAGTATGAAATTTAGATGTACTACATCAGCCATGTTGATATTGTTATTGTGACCTACAGTGACAGTTGCGTCGCTTGACTGCCATTCATAGATCCACTCCCATGGCCCATTGGGATACTGTTTTTCGAATGAATTTGGACATATTTATCTTTTGGCAAACATTTTCTTAGCATACTATATAGTCAACAACTGCAGCAATATTGTAAAGTCTTCTATCTTCAAATAATTTTGAATGCATTTTTAATCATTGATCTCTTTAGAATTTTTTTTTTTGAAATCCCTATGGAGAAAATTAATGGGAAAAATTCTTCCTTAACCAAGGTTGTTGAAAAAGTGGGTGGTCCCAGTTGCGCTCCATTCAGGCTGAATGACTCCAGGCACAGCCTTGCCTTTATATGAATCATACTCGGTCACACTCAGACTAAAGAGCTCACACACTCGTTCTGCTGCTAGTGCTGATGCTATTCAAACAAATACACTCCCTCCACACTATAAAAGTGCACAATAAAGATCAAAGAGACTCTGCATCAGACATCTATATGAGGAGAAATTCCATGTTTATCAGCATATCAATTGGCTGTCAATGATGATTTTGGGATTGAACAGAACATGCTATGCCTAAACTTTCTTTGATATTCTAGACTAAATTGCTGAAAATAAACTAAACAAAAGTTTAGGAAGTAAGATGCTAAATAATACCTATATTTATAAAAAGTATTTTTATTAGTGTCCTTTGTGTTAGTAGCTATGTAACTTTTAGAGATTTACATTATGAGCAGCTTGTACCATTTCAAAGTAACATCTCCAACACTAATAGTATGTAGTCATAAGCTCTGCAGAGACTAACACTAAACAGCACAACTGCAGTAGCCTTTATTAGCCCAAGCATGAGTGCATGAGAGCCAGTGCATCACAACTCACGACTAATTATCTGCTGTCGAGTTTTTCACGAGCACCGTAACACTGAGCAGATGAGGAGCCACTTTCTATAATGGCAACACGTGATCAACGCTGTCTAATTAACGAAAAAAATGGAAAATAAAAGTTTTTAGTGATTTAATTCATACTTTCACACGTATCAACAATTCTTTTAAAAATAAAGTGTTATAATTGATTGGTACTGAGAGAAAGTGTGAATTCAAACAAAGGAAAATTTGAAAAATGTTGATGTACTCAATACTATCACGCATATCAATGACTCATTTAAAAATACATAATGTGTTATAATTGAGTGGTACTGAAAGAAATAAACCTGACAAATAAAGTGATGTGACATGTGGCCAAGTATGGTGACCCATACTTGGAATTAGTGCTCTGCATTTAACCCATCCAAAGTGCACACACACAGCAGTGAACACACACCCGGAGCAGTGAGCAGCCATTTTTGCTGCGGCGCCCGAGGAGCAGTTCGGGGTCTTGCTCAAGGGCACCTCAGTCGTGGTATTGAAGGTGGGAGAGAGCGCTGTACATTCCCTCCCCCCACCTACAATCCCTGCCGGTACGAGACTCGAACCCACAACCTTTGGGTTACGAGTTCGACTCTCTAACCATTAGGCCACGATTTTCTCATATTGATGAATTCTAGAAATAGTGATAACACTTTAGTTTAGGGAGGAATTCTAATAATTATAGTTGCTTATTAGCATGTACAGTGGGTACGGAAAGTATTCAGACCCCCTTAAATTTTTCACTCTTTGTTATATTGCAGCCATTTGCTAAAATCATTTAAGTTAATTTTTTTTCCTCATTAATGTACACACAGCACACCATATTGACAGAAAAACACAGAATTGTTGACATTTTTGCAGATTTATTAAAAAAGAAAAACTGAAATATCACATGGTCCTAAGTATTCAGACCCTTTGCTCAGTATTTAGTAGAAGCACCCTTTTGATTATACATCCCTTAACCCTACCTCATAACTAAACTTAACAACTACCGTACTAACTATTAATAAGCAGCAAATTAGGAGTTTATTGAGGCAAAAGATGTAGTTAATAGTTAGATAATAGTGAGAATTTGTCCCCAAACTAAAAGTGTGACCAAAATATTAAAATGATGCCTTATGGTATCTAGTGTATTATTACAGAAAGGTGTGTAGAATAAGTATTATTTATATTATTTATATATCATTCTAGTACCCCCAGTCACCAGTAGCCAATTCTAAAATAATGGTGTTTGCTAAGGCAAGTGTCACTGTTACTATTTTTTCATACTTAGGGTTAGGTTAGCGACTCTCATAGCTCATTCCTCAATTTGTACATTGGACATGAATTATATCTAAAATCGTATGGTTTGCTGAGAAGAGATGTTCTATTATTAATGCCCTTGTAACCACCTAAAACACCATAGCAACTGCATAGCAAAACATTGAAATCACTCAGAGTATGTTAGTAACCACACAGAACACCTTAGCAACTGCATAGTAACACTATAAAATAATTCTGAAAACCTTATCAACCACCAAGCTTTGACTAACAACCACACAAAACACATTAGCAATGCAGAATCCATCCAATAATATGTACAACAACACAGAGCCACAAAAAGCAGCAAAATATGCTTTTTTTGATGTGAGTATGTATTTAGGATTTTTTAATATTTTATAAAGAAGTCTCTTATGCTCACCAGGGCTGCATTTATTTAATTAAAGATACAGTAAAATATTGTCAGTTATTGCAATTAAAAATAACAGTTTTCTGTTTTAATATATTTTAAAATGTATTCCTGTGCCATTACTCCAGTCTTCAGTGTCACATGATCCTTCAGAAATTAATCTAATATGCTGCTTTAGTGCTCAAGAAACATTTCTTCTAATTATTAATGTTGAAAATAATTCCAATATGCTTAATATTTTTGTTGAAACCATACTTTTTTTCCAGGATTCTTTGATGAATAGAAAGTTCAAAAGAACATCATTTATTTGAAACTGAAAACTTTTGAAAAAAATAAATAAACAAACAAAAAACAGTAGTGTATGGTCCCTTTCATATTTTCTATGATCAGACGTTTTGAGGAAGCGCATCTATAATAAGTGTGGGGCTTTAGAAATATCATCCTTCTGAGAAATTGATCATTATTTTCTGTTGATTTCCATGCAATAAACCACATACTTCCAAAAGGTATTGACTAAGTAAATATACAAGCAACAAGTAACAGTCTATTTTAGCCAGAAATCTCACTCTAAATCAATGCAAATAAATACAAAAAGTTATTTGCCTATTTATGCCGTCTAAGACACAGAATCATAATCGAGAGAAACAGTGTATCACATGCTAAAACATTTATCCTTATTACCTTATTTATGTATTCAAAGACAGAAAAACAGCAGACAGAAAAAGATGACCCAGCAGGATTAGCCTTTGATAAGTCAACTGCTCCATTATGGCTACAAAATGACAGACTGTCTAAATGTGTATTATAATGATTTCTGAAGGATAATGTGACACTGAAGACTGCAGTAATTCAGCTTTGCCATCACAAGGATAAATTACATTTTATAATATATTAAAATCATTTCACAATGTTACTGTATTTTTTTGATCAAACAAATGCACCCTTGGTGATCATACTGTAAGATACTTTATTTTAAAACATTAAAAAATCTTACCGAACTCAAACTTTTGTACAATACATAGACTAAAATTAAAATAAAACCTAAAACAATAGAAGGGGGGAAAAATAGAAATAGAAACAGAAATAAAGAACCTAAATTAAAATAAAAAAGTAACAACATCAAAACTAAAAAAAGACCAAAACATTAAACTAAAACTTGAATTAAAATAAATAATAATATTTATTAATAATAAATTAATTAATTTCACCATAATACAAATGCAAGGACTGTTAAATATTTCACAAAAGGCCCTCAAAAAGTGACACACACAAACTCTGAAAACCCTTTCAGCATGCAGCCGCTCTTCCAGCTCAAATTTGATCGATATGTGTACATTTGTCATTTACATTTGCCAGGTACATTTACTGTGACTATGAAAAAGGTCCAATGGGCATGCAGACTCACCTGGGATCCTTCTGAATGCTGTCAATGGAGGGCGAGCGGGCCAGGTTGCCCTCGGGTGGCAGGGCAGGGCCGGACTTGCTGTAGGGAGACTCCACTGATGAGCAGTACGGCAACGTGCGGTAAGTATCTGTGTAATTGGCGCCCTGACCGGACGAGTAGCCACCTCTGGGAAACGTCCCTGTGGCATTCTGACTTCCTGTTCGCTGCAAGGGTACGGAGTCAACACCAGGGGAGGATGGGGCTATGGCAGGAGAGTAGGGACAAAACAAGAAGTTCAGGACCTGCTCACAGAACTGGTTCACTAGGTCTAGGTACAGGAACAATGAGAGGACAGTGAGAAGACAAGCAGACAAGACGTGATACAATGACAGAATGACAAAGAGGGAGCAGAAAGGAGAGGAAGAGACGACAGCAGTGAGAACGACAGCAATAAAAAGCTCTTAACAGGTACATAATAGAGACAAAGTGAGTGTTTGTCAAACGTGAACGTCAAAACCTTTCTTATCACATTTATAGACACATTTAATGTTAAAATGTGGAAACAGAAGGCCATGTGGCAGACTAAAAAATAATGTATTATATGAGTCTGATAGCAAAAAAAATAAACTGCTGTTGCAAAAGTTTAGGGCCAGGAAGAATTTTAAAATTAAATAATTATAATTTTTTAATTATTAAATGATAAATTATTATTATTAATTAAATTATTAATAATAATAATTTATTATTTTATTCAGACCTAATTAAAAAAATAAACATTATAAAACATTTATAATGTGACAAAATGTTTCTGTTTTAAATAAATGCTGCTCTTTTGAAATTTCTATTAATCAAAGAATCCTGAAAATATTAAGGAGCATAAACATTTTTAACAAACTAATTTCTTATAATAATAAAAAAATCTTTCTTGTGCACCAAAACAGCATATTAGAATGATTTCTGAAGTATCATGTGATGCTGAATATTGGAGTAATTACTGCTGAAAATTCAGCTTGGCCATCACTGGAATAAACTTTAAAATATTTTAGAAAACAGTTATTTTAAATTCTAAATATATTTCACAGTATTCTGTTTTAAATGATTTTAATTCTAAAAAAAATAAAAAAATAAATAAAAAAAGCAATCTTTGGTGACCATACGAGACTTCTTCAGAAAAACATAAAAAAAATCCTACTGGCCCCAATATTTTAATCTAAAATAAAACTAAAATTGAAAAAAAAAAAAAAAACTCACTATATGAAAAGCTGATTGCAGGATGATTAGCTAATTCATCAGTCCATTGTGACCCATATGCTGAAACTTGCAGTACAAATTCAATAAACTGCATGATTAGTCTCTATAGTGCTCTAAAATGGTCCAAAATTCATAATTAAATAATTCATCTTGATGCCTGATGACTCACCGATTGACCGAGCTTACGTAAGCTCTAATTTTAGTTGTGACCGTTTCAAAAAATTGTGTGAAAAGGGAAAATTCATGTTTATGGCATGGTGGCATCAGATGAAGGTGACATCACAGGTCATGTGATTCCCTCATTATCTTTATACAGGTGCAGCTGTAAGAGGCAGATCAGTTTAACTGCACATTTATTTGGTTTTTAACATATTGAGGTTACAGAGTGTATCCATTTCGCTCAATATGAGGGTAATGTGGCAGCCACTGTCTGCTAGACAGTCACAGTGGAGTGTCTCATAAATCTGCAGTGCAAGACGATCAATGGCAGTGTTCGGAGACTTTACCACAACATTGCCAGTGAAGCCGTAAAAAAAGGACTATTAGTCACCAAACACAAAGTGCACCCAAGAAAAAAAAGGCTACATGTATCTTTGGAGACCATCCATGACTCTTCAGCTTCCTTTAGAGAAAATGTTGCACTCGCTCAGTGGAGGCTAACGATAATTAGACAGAGTTTGAGATGAATGAAGACTGGTTGAAAAAAAAAAAAAAAAAAAGGAGAGGGAGAGAGCTAGAAACAGGTTGAGGAGGGGAGGGGGTGCCTGATGTATTGAATTAAGCTTCCTGAGCCGGAATATATAATGAGAAGCTGACGGAGAGAGGAGAAGAAAAGTTCAGTGACCAGACAGGGCTGTAACACAGCAGACGTAATACATATTAATCAAATCAGGCTACAATTTTTTTTTTTATCAAGCCAGTAGCTTAGTTTTTTTATACGCCTTATATGCTAATATTTTCACTGGCCCCACCAAAAAAAAAAATAAATAAAAAAAAAATAAATAAAAAAAAAAATATATATATATATATATATATGTAAAATAATAGTAATAAAAATATTAGAATAATTAAAACATATAATGAAATACTGAATAAAATATAAACATAACATGTAATTAAAATACATAAATGAATATAATAACATTATATTAGTTCTTTACAAACAAATGTATGACAAAATAATTAATGAATGAATGAACAAACAAACATATACATACATAAGTAATTAAATAAATAAGCAAATAAATAAATACATAAATAGTTACAACCAATAATTTGCAATAATGGCTGTAAATTATACCGCTATTATGTAACTCAGAAGCACTTTTTTTGATGTCTATATTGCTTATATTAATTGTTATTTCAGGTTTAGTTTTAATTTAAAATGCTGTAATAGTCATTTGTTTTTATTTTCCATCTAGTTTTCAACTGATTCCAAAACTAACTAACTAACTAACTAAATAATAATAATAACTTATTTTATTTCACCTAGTTGTCATTTTTTTTGTTAAATTAAAAACTAAAATTATATATATATATATATATATATACACACACACACACTCTCTGTCTCTCTCTCTCTCTCTATATATATATGTACTGCCACTGCTAAACTACATATGATAATAAACAGTGAGCTAGATCTAATTAGCAACAACACTGTTTAATATAGCACACACAAAGTTACATTTGTGAGGCATATATTTATTTATTTATTTTATTTCCATTCAAAAAGAAGCATAAATGTGGTTCTCTGAAAAAGTAGATCACTTTAACTTTTCTTTAAAAAAAAAAAACATAATGAGGTGGCCGAGTATCCATTTGGCTCAATCTAAGAGTGTGGGTGTTTGGCTTTGGGTTTACTCTAACTCATTACTCGAATGTGAAGATTTCAAATAACTCAAGGTCTCTATCTGGTTTAGCACTGAAGGCCCTTGGGGCTTGATTTACAGCTCCAACTGCATGCAATCACCTTTAGCAGGTGAAACTCTATCTGTATGTCATTAATTACCTTGCAAAAAAGGGCTAGTTAAATTTCAGTCTTTAACTAAAAGCAGAGTAACCGGCATTGACTGTTTTGAATTTCACTCGATCTTGAGAAATCATATAGTAAGGTCATTGATTCAGTTAATGAATGAAAGATGATATATTATCAAATACTGCTGCAATTCTGATCTTTTTGACACACTTTTCCAAACAGTAAGTATTCCGCTTATCACTGTATGTGCAAGAGCTGCTGCTCCAGGCCTCTGTGAAGATTTTATGATTATGAAGTGTTGCCCCTCTGCCACAGCGGCGAAGCCTCGGGAGAATGGCCTTTCAGTGACCTTCAGATTCCATTAGCTTATCTTATCAGAAATGGTGTATCTTATACGACCCCACACATCACTACACGGACAAGGGCTTTCCTGGGCACAGCGTGAGATAAAACACACAAACGGACAAGGACGCACACAAACACACAAACTGACACAAGGTGGATAAGATCTTGCATAAAATCTCGACAACCGACCTGACTCGTATCTATTATTTGTCATCGGTGATCGTAAACAATGCGAGAGCAGAAAGTAATAACTGGCAAATATATGAGACTGCATATATTTTCTGTACAAAAATGATAGATGGACGCATGAACAACAATAAAGTAGGTGTTTATTAACTCACAATAGGTTTTTCATCTTTTTTCATCTGTGAGAAATTTGAACGGTCAGTTCCAGCATCGACTCGATATATTTCTCTACAACTTTATAATCCATTGCTGGTTAATTCCATCACTGTAGATCCTGTCCTCTATCATTAAGGGAAGGTGAGAATAAAACGGCACATTGGCTGGTAAATACATCTCTGGGGCCAAGTGATCTTAGTGAAACGCTGACAGTTTCTCTTACTCATTTTGTACAGAGGCTGTTAACGAGGGCAACTAGCCGATAATGTGCTTCAGTGAATACTGCTATTTCCTGACAACAGCATTTGACTGTAATTCTTTAATTAACTAGCATACTAAGCCTTTTTGCTCTTCTGCTTCCTTTGACACCATATACAGTCTTTTCTTAAGCCAATTTGAAGGACACTTGTAAATAACAGCCAACTTTCTTCTGCTAAATCTGCACCTTATCTCTCTCAACTGTATAAAGCAACATGACAACCAATATTTTTTTTCTGCTCAAAATCATAATACCTTATTGTACAAAGGTTTGGGATCAGCATGATATATCCAGTGCATATATATATATATATATATATATATATATATATATATATATATATATATATATATATATATATC